TATATTATATTATATTATATTATATTATATTATATTATATTATATTATATTATATTATATTATATTTATTATGATCTATCAGCCCAGTGTGGTGGTATACATCTGTGAACCTTGCACTTGGGAGCAGAGAGATGCAGAAGGATCAGGCATTGAAGGTCATTGCTAGTTACATATCAAGTTTTGAGGTCAGACTGGCCTACAATTAAAAACAAAATTCATCTCTTTCTACTTTTAAAATGACAATATTAGAAAGTATATATATATAATTTATATATGGTATACACACACACACACACATATATATATATCACATATATGTGTATACACACACACTCACACATTAGAACACATTTCAATTGTGTGAATTCTCCTCTGAGCAATAGTTAGCCACTAAGTGAGGTAGGCACTTTTAGGGACAACTCATGAAAACACATCTTCAAAATATTCTTTCTCTTTTAAAAATGGAAATTTCATACCCAAAGCCGAGCAGAGGGCACAAAATGTCTCTGTCTATCACTTGAACTGTTTGAATACATTGTCCATGATTTTGAAGTAAGCATACTTCTGAATTTGTGGGTCATCTTTCTTAAATTATGTATGACCTTACACTAAGCATGTACAGTATACACTACCCCCACTACAGTGATCTTCTCTATAAAAATGTGCAGACTCCCCAAATAAAAACATATTTCCTTTGCCCAAGGAAGACATTGGCTTGGGAACAACTTCTGTACCCCTGTCACTTCTCCAGAGAATAACACTTTCTGCTTTTGTCTCTTGGTGGTGGTTGTTTAGGCTTGTCCTTTCAAAGGGAACCCACTACACTTAGTGGTCATGCAGTAACTTTGTATTTTCTTGCTCTTGGGGTTCCATATCTAGTCTGCCAACAAGCCCTGACAACATACTGTGGCCATCCTCTTTTCCAGAGAGTTCTCTTTGTAATGCATCTCCTAATCCACTGCCACATGGTCCTCTCTCTTCAAGCCCAACTCAACTACCTGTGAAAGTAACAAAACAAAAAGCACATGTCAACAACTGAGCAACTGAGTGGTAAGGTTCTTAAAATCCCCCTCCAATGAAGAAAGAAAACAAATCAACCCTGAATAACTGCACCATGTGCAGGGAACCCCAAATGCTAGGGAGGAAAGAACCAGCCACTTGCCTTTCCAGACACTGCCCTGAACAAAACCAAATGTCACACCCACAGACGGAATGCCCCTGAAGAAAGGAAGGGGAAGCCCCTTACCTGCAGGAGGAAGGAAACTGGGTATCATGCCATCTCAACCACCAACAGATATTCAAATTCTTCTCAAGTTTGGTTTCAGTTCAATCCCAAAGATACACAGAGTCCTGGCTTCTTTTAAGGAAGCTTATGTAACACACACACACACACACACACACACACACACATTTCTGGCCCTAGACTGAGATTTTGGGGATCTCAATAGACAAAATACACTTCCAGAAAATCTGCCCTTTTCTCCACCCACTGAAATGCTCAAAGCAAGGAACGTAAAAGTGAAAATGGCCCTTGAGTAGACTGGAGCTTGAAGACAAGTAAATAAGAAGGCAGATGAGTCATTTCTTATTCTCTTGGCTCATTTGTACCTGTCCCATGTCACAGACAAAACAAGCTTGTAGTAAACCTGTAAGGGCTTCCTGGAGACTCTTCAAGGCCAGAGAGCATCCTTCCTACCGGGGAAAGCCTTGTGTTTTCTGAGGGTACATCAAGCAGCCTGAGGCCTCAGATACCAGTAAATGTGGAAACTTTCCTCTGTCTCTGCGAAGAACTGTCATCATAGAACTGTTCCCTGTTGGGCCCAGTTGATGATTACAGAGTAACATAGTTATTTCAGCTTGTAAAATAACACAGACCTCAGTTTCAAATCCTTTTCTCATGACTGTGTCCTTTTTGGCTGGGAGAATGTGCTAATTTGGAGAGTGAAGTGTCGGCCATAGTGGGAGCCCTTTCCAACTGCAAACACCAATTGTGGTACATGCCAAACAGAGTTGTAGGAAAGAATGACAATGAATCTGTTTTTGCTGAGCCACAGTATGACTTTCTGCAACACACACACACACACACACACACACACACACACGAACGAGTGGAGGTGTACAAAGTCTCGTTTGGCAAGACATGCATACATGAGGTGTAGGCAGGATGTCCAAGGCTAACCTTGGTGCTTTCAGCATATTGCAGGGACATGGATTTTCCTTGATTTCTTTTTCAGCACCAGCTGTCAGGGTAATCTCCTTTCTCCCCAGTGCTGGCTTGTCCATCTGTCACAGCAAGGAGGAAGAGAAGAGCATCCCACAGAGGCCTGGGTGCTTGGCCCTGCTCCCTGTGAACAAAATGAGATCTGTAGCTTCTGGCAGCAGAGCAAATCAGTCTGCAGCCCTGTGTTACCCTCAGTCCTTTCGTGACTACCCTGACATGGACAAGACACATTCATCCACACAGATCCCTCTAGTCATGGCTGCAAACCCTTCAGAATAAGGTGAATGCATGTCCCAGGATGTCGTATGTATACTGACTGGATCCTACTGATGGTAGTATCTGGTAGATGTAGATTGTACTAGAACACACTGGGTGAGGAGATCATACATGCTTAAGGAGAAGAAAGTATACTTCCTCATAATACCTCTCTCTGTAGGTGTCATGGAAAGTACCTCAAAGACGACATTACTTCATGTATGAATAACAAATAAATCTCTGTTTTACCCAAGAGGGAACAAAGGCTCAGACAGGCTATGACCAAGGGTGAACTAAGTTATGACAATTTCAAGATCTCCATGGTATAAGACAACAAATGCTATTTCTCCTAGCCTTCAGGCCTTTGTGGCCCTCCAGGACAGCTGTCCTCTGTGTGGTGACTCAGAGACTCAGCTGCTTCTGTACTGTTGGATCTGTCATCTCAACGTGAAGCTTATGAATTTGCCCCAGCAGGGGAAGTGAGAGAATGGAGACTCTCACAGGGGATTTTCACTGCTTCCAGCCAGGAAGTGACACATGCTACTTGGAAGAAGGAAGATCCTGATTAAATGCTGAGAGACTTGGCCTTCCCAGAAGCACATACCACTGAGTCCTGTGATGTCCCCCAGAGAGAAAGAAAGTAACATTCACTGCCCTTCATCAGATTCAGGTTTGTACCCTGTTCTGTCATCTGAATAATTCTCCACTGTGACACAGACTGGCTTCCTTCATATTTAGTGGTCATCTGTTGAAGGCAAAGGTGCGGACAGTGTTCAGTGTCAATGTTATTGATTTAGCACCTGAAACACCTTTTCAGGGTTCTTTCTTCTGGTCCCTCCCTTCTTCTGTCACTTTCCATTGTCCCTCTCCCCTCCTCCAACCATCCCTCTCTTTTCTCTTAAACTTCCAAGGGAGGGATCTAATTGACTCAGTTTAGGAATCCTGTTCTCTCTAGAGGAATCAGCTCTGCATGGGAGAGGGAAGAGGAAGGACACCTTACAAGGGCATGGGAAAGGGGAAAGAAGGAGGAACTCCAGAACAAAAGTCACTGGAGATAGTAAGTGACAGAATAAAGATTTGGACCTAAGTCTGGCTCCAAGGTCTTTTTCTATTTATTATGCAAAGTCTCCTAAGATAAGACTGGTTCTTACCTATAGAAGCAACAAATACTGCAGTAAGCTATGAATCTTCAGCTAAGACTTCGAAAAGATGGTTCATTTCATTAGCTGTTAGGGAAATGCAAACCAGAACAATGAGGGATCCATCACCAGAAATACAATGAAAAACCAAAATGTGTACAATGATATGGAGGATTGAGGACCCTGGCTTTCTAAAAGTCATCGTGGAGAACTCTTTGACAGAATTTAGATATCTCAGTTGCATGTGCCCCTTGTCAATGACTTGACATCCTACTACCATAGAATAAAAAGGAGAGTGTGTCACCATAAAAAGCATCCTGCCTTCACTAGTAATAGCCAAAACTCAGAGTACTCACACTCATCAACAGGGTGAACATGTTAGGTTAATACTCACCTGCAAAAAGAATGTTATGTGTGATATCTGCAACAGTGGAGAAGAAGCTCAAAAATATGCTAAGCCCAGAAGTGAGACACACGTACAGACTCTACAGCTCTAACTTTGAAAGTCCTATGCTAGGCACACTAATCTTCAGTGCTAGAATGGTGGGTGTTTGTAGGGTAAGAATTGAATAGAAAGGAAGGAAAAGGACAATTCTGGAATAATGGTAGTAGGTTGGTATATTGAGTGTGGTGGTTATACAGGTGACATTTGGGCCAAACATATTGACTTGTATACTTACAGTATGTAGCTTACACTCAACAAAACCTATACCTAGGAACAATAGCTGTAGATCCCAAACAATTGCTTTCTCACCCTTGCTTAAGTCCTTTATACCCTGGATCATTGTTGTTGCCAGGGACAGTAGTCTTTTGGCTTGAAGAAACCCTTAAGAACCATCGTGGACTACACATAAATGGGTGTGACTCCCTGTGTGGACGAGTGGCTTGTTCAAAGCAAAGTCTTTTCATTCTGGAAGTGCTTTGTGACTCACAGGAGGAGAGTGTGACTTGGTAGTCACATTCTCATCTGAGAAGATAGCAGAGCTAGACAAGGGTTGGGGTTCAGATGGGACGTGGGTTTGAGCCCTGGCTCTGCGTTGCCCATCTGTTAGATATTAAACAAACTGCACAGCTTCCCATCACCTCTCCTGTAGATGAGAGATACATAATGCTCAACTCATAGATTCTGCAGAGGACCAGACTAGGACATGCATGCAGACTTTGACATTAAAGATAAACTGAGGATCTCTTTGTTATCTTCTAGATAGTTTGGGAATTTGACTCAGATGTCCAACAGAAAGTTCCCAAAACATTCCCCTAACTACCTTTGTCCCACTAAATGAATGAGCCAGTATGGGATACAGAAAAAGGACTTCGTTCCTGGGTTTACATCTTTTATACTGCCCAGAGGATTACAGTTTCATCTCACCCCATCATCATCTCCTGGTCCCACCTGTCTCCTTAGCTCCCCAAAAAGGGATGGGCTTTCAGAGACCAGTTTTGAATCGAAATGAAACACTCTACTTACATCCTCAAGACCTGGGTTAATTCAAGATAGCTTAAGACCTCAAGTGGAAGTGCATGGAGAGTGAGAACTGAGGCCAAGGGAGGTGTGCCCGTCTAGCTCACTTGGGTATTGGGTGTGGGCTCTGTGCCAATCTGATACTCAAAACGTACCGTCAATAAGAAACTCTTATAAAGGAGATAAGTCCCAGAAGAGCCCAGGTTGTATCATGTGCTAGAAGACTGTGTTCGCCTCTGACTCCTATACCTAAGACAAAATTTGGACAATATCTAAATGCCACCTTTCATAGCTAAAGAATTGTTGTGACACCGAAAAAGTCACCTACCATTCCAGACCAGATCTGGGAACCGAACTCAAGTTGTCAAGGACATATGACTCTCATACATGGCCATGGGCAGAGTCCACCTGCCTCTGTCTTCTCTTTAGTTGACATCAGTTCAGGTCAGGCCTTGTACAGCTCTGTTACAAGGCAGTTTCCTACTGTTCTGGCATCCAGTGCCACCTTCTTTGAGTGAAGCCAGCTACATTTTGGAGCGGGTCATTCTCTGCACTGGGGGTGCTCACGTTTCCTGAAGTCCAGCAGACCTGAGTTCAGGCCTCTCAGGCACTAATAACCATTCTTGTTCATTTCCCAAAGGATTTAATGTGGCAACTTATCTGGAAAGTTTAGTCAAGGACTTGACACTTTGTAAGCCTTTAAGATAGACACATTGGTTATTGTTCTTAGTGTATTTCCTGATTATAATAAATTTTGTGTTGGTCTCCAACTGCTGCTTCTAGGCAACTATCTTGAGTCCTACGTTAGATTGTCATTTTTGTGAGAAGGAAGACAGCGTATATATTCTACTGATATGTTGCCCATTGTATTGAGGGTAGGCCTGGGGTTTGGAGACACTATCAATAACAGCTTAGGAAGGGATTAGAGGTGACTTACAGGGGACTTGGCTTGCTTTTCCATAAACCTATATTTATGTCATGCGCAGATGATCTGAGCCAGCCCTGTGTTGTGATGCTCTTTCCCAGAATGTCACACTGGGGACATGTTTTCCTCATGCAGATGGATGTTTGTATGTGTGGCAGCTTCACGTTACACTTTTATTTTCTTTCCAAAGCATTAGTTTCTTTTCAGTAGTTCCAGAGTCAGCAAAGACTGTTGGGATACTAGCCACTCTCTCCCTTTCTGAAAGAAGACAAAGGACCGAGGCATTATTTTGTAGATTAAAAGGATTCTGCTTACCCTCCTCACAAGCTCAGTTACAGGGTAATTGTTACTGTGGGAGAGATGGCCATCACTCCTGAAAAGGGACACTGAGTCAGGTGACACATCGACAGAGGCCAGCTGGATCTTTGCAAGAAGTGTTCTCTGGTGATCCCGGCTGTTTTTGTTGAGGAAACAGGAATGTCCTCATTGCTGAGAACATCAGAAGGTGACAAGAGTCATTCAGGGTTACAGAATGACATCAGCAGGTGTCCCTGAGACAGTCTTTTCTCCCTGCTAGTCTGTTGGAAGCTTCCCTGGATAAGGTTGCTCAAAACCTGGGTGAAGGACCCCTTTTAGCTGAGGCTGGGGGACCATGGTCTGCTGAGGCTGTAGCGATGGCACTGGCCAACTTCTTAACCCCTAAGACCAGCTGTCATTTCTTATCTCCTTGTGGAGAAGTGCTAATAACCACTTCTGCATGCATGTGTGTGCATCTACGTGCACTCAGTAATGTCTGCAGGTGTAGGTCACAGACCATTGTCTGCATGTGTAGGTCACAGGCCAATGTCTGCTTGTGTAGGTCACAGATCAATGTCTGGCCTTTTTCTCTATTACTCTTTAATTTTTGAGACAGGGTCTCTCACTGAACCTGGAGTCCACTGATTGGCTAGACTAGCTAGCCAATGAGTTCCCAGGCTTCTTCGCTGGGCTTTCCTCTACCCTAACCCCAGGGCTATAGGAGTCTACCACAATGCCCAGCTTTTTACATGGCTCCGCTAGTCTGAAATCAGGTCCTCATGCTTCTTATACAGCCTCTGAGCATCTCTCCAGCTTCAGGAGCCACTTTACATCCTTCTGTAGAGTAGGCTGGACAAGATCTTTTCAGTGTTACTAAGTTTGCTTCTTTTCTATGGCCTCTAGGAAGTCAGAGGCCTGTGGGAGATGCAAGAGCCCAGGACAAAGAATCCTAGCATGCAAAGCAGAACCCCTGAGAATCCCCTGAACCCATTTCTATTGTTCTATCATTGCCACAGTTTCAAAGACAAGACAGCTCGCTGGGACTCGTCTCTGTACTCTCCAGAATTTTACCTGTTGCTTTTCCCTTGAGCCTCTTTTAATTGCTGCAAAATCAAATTAAAAATGCAAAGCATGCAAAAAATATAGTTTTGAAATGTTTTCTTTTGTGTGTGTGTGTGTAACATTCACCCCAATGGTTAAAAAGAAAAAAGTCAATTCCTTGCTAAATCAGGATACTTATCTTTCTTCCACGTTTCATTTTTACCTCAGGAGGTATGCAGTCTTAAAATATGTGTTCCTAGGGCAGGGTTAGCTTCCTCTGCATACTGTCACATTATCCCCAGACCTCTGCTGAGAGATTCTTCTTAACCTACTGTCTGTCTCCTCCCCCTTTTGGTCCACTGATATGTTTCCTACGTTTCCAGAGGGATGTAGGTAGGGGAGAGAGGCAGAGAAAGGATGGATATGGAGAAAGGGCTTCTTGAAGAAGGCAGGGTAGGATCAGAGGAGAGGCAAGGAGTGACCAAGTCCCTGGCAGGCTCAGGGACCTTCCCCAGAGCCCATTCCCCTACACCCTAGCGTGTACCATTTCTTCTGCTTTCTGGCTTCCAGTGAAACTCAAGACTCCTTACCCTTCCTTCCTCCCCACCTCTCCATTCCCCCATCCCTCTAGCCCAAGAAAGCTTTAGTTACAGAGTGGAGATGATCTGAATCTTTCTTCTACAGTGTTTGCTGTCCCCAGTGTCATGTTCCTTCCCCAACAGTGCCTTGTATGTTGTTGTACAGGGTAAGCTGCTCAGACTTAAGGATGTCCACAGGAAATGGTCTGCAACCATAGAGCGCTCACAGAGAATTACAAGGTATTATGAGACTGCTTGTCTCTCCTTATTCTCCATTATAGCTGCCTGTGGGACTCGGACAGATGTGCTCAGGTGATTTTACAACTCCTGCGTAGGGTCAAGTCCAGATGATCAGGTAAGGTGGTGTGACGCTCCTCGTCCTGTCAGCAAACAGGTTGTTGTTCTGTTTTGTTTCAAGGCATCAAAGTCAGAATGTGTATAGCCATTACAAGAACGAAAGGAGGCCACAGCTTTAGTCCCTGCCCCCTCCCCAAATCTGTACTTCCCCATCTGAACCCAATGAGCAATGGAAAACTTCCAGCAAACTGAGATGGGGAGGAAGGAAAAAAAAGCAGACCTTGAGAAAGTGTGTGAGATAAATCAGGTCATCTATGAAGACAGAATTATGCTGGGAGGTGGAGATTAAGTCCAGTCCTCCGGCGCTGAATCGGCAGTAACACTTCTAGCGGGGACCACCACACCCATCTCTTTACCCAGAGCCCCCTTCTGGTTCCTTAAATGATTTGTTCCCGGGGCACCATAAAACCTTAGACCAGGAGCAGAGTTTAACAATCTAAGCTGACTCTTACTTCTGTCCTTATCTGAGTCTTCATTAGCAACAAATGCAGGTTCTTGGGTCCTGACTCAGACTTACTGAATTCCGTGCAGACGGCATTCTTTTTCTTAGATTGGAACCCAGTGACTGATATCCTCAAATGCAGCATTTTGGGTATATATGTTGAGCAATTTAATCTGAAAGGCCTGATGTTAAACTCAGAATTTAGGTTCCTGACCTGCCTTTGTCTCCTCCCCTCTTTAGCAGAGATTTTCCACAAAGGCCTCCATCCTCCTGAGGATCCCATCTGCACACAGAGAAGCAGAGGCTCCTTCAGGCTGCACATGCAGCTCCATTAACCAGAGAAAACTCAGCTCATATGCCAGGAAGATAGACTGAGGTTGGTAAATACACCTGGATGGATTTTTCATCAGAAGCCATTGTTTGGTCCATAGAGAAGCGTTTCCAAACCAGTGTCTCATATCTAGGCCAAATAGACTGTCACAGGCCACAGAATACTCTCCAGTGCACACCACTGAGTTTCCCTGAAAGCCATTTACTATTTTTCTACAAACTTTTTGTATTCCCCACTCTGCCCATCTACTATCCAAAAGGAGTTCTTCCGTTTCCACATCACCGTTAGTGCTTCCCTGCCTGTAACAAATGCTCGGATCTTTCCGCGGCTTCCTTCTTCTCAGTTGAGACTAGCAATTCTTCAAAGGGTGGAGGTGAGTCTCCCTTCAGTTCTACAGTTTCATATGGGATACTCTTCAGTCTTGACTTGAGTGTTTCTACTTACAAGGAGCTCATTGCAGGAACCGGCAGCTGGTTGCATGCCTTAACAATTGGATGTGTCCATGTGTCAGTGAGATTAATCTAACTTCGGCGACTTCCACCTGCTGGCCCTGGCTCCATCCTGTGGCTGCAATTCAGAGTTATAGCTGACTCGGGATCCCTGGAAATTGGGCTAATTATCCCCATAGTAGGAGTTTGGTAAAACTGAATACAAGAGGCTAAACTGGGAGGGAGGCCAGCGCTTCACATTTTCCTTTCAACCAAATAAAACAGCAAGATTAAGGGCTGTCCCTGGCATTTGTAAGATTATGATAAATATCAGTGTTAATAACAATAGTGACAGTAATAATTACCCATGGTGCGATTTGGATGCAGGTCAAGAAACCATCCGGATCAAATTACACGTAAGAAAAATATGTGTGTTCGGGGTTGGGAATGTTCTCAAAGAGGAAGAAAAATGGACACGGTGAAGCAATTTGCTTTCTAGTGGGAAATAACTGCTCCTTTGAATTCCAAATGGATCATGAGAAATAAAAAGAAAGGCTTTTCTGGCAGGATACTGTAGATGAGGCCTCAGCTTTCTGACGAGATGTGTCTAGGGTAGGAAGGACTCGTGGCAGACAGCAGTCATCTTTGTCTTGTCCACCGATAGCAGGTACACTTCTGGTTGAGTACACTTGTTTAGTCAGAATTGGCTAGTAGAGATCTTTTCTGTCAGTTTCTGGTGGACATTTGGTGGGTGAGATGAGGGAGAGCGTGGTATTCCTATAACAGGCTCATAGATGGTCTTGCTAGAAATCATGGCGTCTATGCCGCAGACCCTTCACTTGGGCCCAATTAAGAGCGATTAAAGTCTGACACAGCTGTTTTCTTCCGAGTCTGTCCCCTTCCGCTTTGGCTCAGACTCCTGCAAGGTTCTGCACAGGCACGTTAATCTCCTTAGGGAGTATCTACTTAACCTTTATCTTCCCCCTCCAAGGCTGAAGCACCAAGATAAGCCTTTGTCCTCAATCTGCAGTCACGTACCAGGAAGAGTAAAGCATTTCAGGATAGAGCCACACTGGGTCTCAGGCTCCTCCGACTCCCCGGTGGCTAGGCTGCAATCTGGAGCATAAATAATCATCTCTGGAGAATCAGCGTGTCCCTTCAAGCAATAAGGACTTTTGGGGATCACCTTATAGAACTAGTGCTGAGACAATGATTAACCCCTCCTTGACCACCTCTTACCCTTTGCCCCAATTCATCCTCTGTTTAACCTAAAGTTCAGGTCTAGACCCTGAAGGCAAAGTTAGTGGGGGCCACGAGACCCCTTTATCCCTTCCTCTTCTTGATGACCTGTTAAATTTCTTAGTTTTTCTCCATTATTTGTCTCTTCAACTGGCATTGAGTCTGGTCGCTGAGCCTCGCCTGGTGTTGCCGGTACAGTCCATGCACTGGCAGCATCCCCACAGCAGATCCCTTCTGCAGGCAGGCAGAGAGCCAGTGCCCCACCCCACCCCCACACCCCCGACCCACAGTCTCTTGTCATCTAGCAATAAGGCACAGGCATCTCCTGGTGTTACCAGGCTACTCGCAAGTGAGGTTTTTTTTGTTTTTTTTCCTTTCCCCAAATTTGAACCTGGAGAGTGTTTACTTCCCGTCTCACCCCAGGGACCTGCTGATTTTTCCCATTACTGTAAATTGCTGCTCTCTGTGCTTTGCATTTGTTATTAAGATGTAATCAGGGTTGCCTAACTGATTAACAGTCTTGCCCTCAGCCCCCACCCCCCAGCCCTCACACCTGACTGGGAAGAAAAGCAATGAAAACAACCTGGGTGGATGTCAGGGGCCAAGGGTTTCTTGTGGGCAGCCTGATAGCTGAGAATGTCAGGAAGCCGCAGGGCACTGGGCTTCTCCATGGATCCCTATCGAAGGGAGAAGAAACCTTGTGCATCTCAAGTTCCTGGGAGCTGAGGTGCATGGTGTTTCTAGGTCCTGTGATGGAATAACGGCCCGTGATGCCTGTGCCGGCCTGCCTAAAGAGGCAGAGAGCAGACTGAGCCAGGCCTTCTGATGATCAAACACAGGGCATCTCTTAAGGCAGACTGGTAAGATGCTACAACAGGGAAGGGGAAGCATGGCAGGTGTCAGCCTTTGGTATAGATCACAAGTCAATCAGCTTGGTGGGAAGCAGCTGCCAGTCCCGGAGAACCCTTCTCTCTTCTCCCCTGCCTGCCCTGTCTAATCTGACCAGGACCTATCTGCTTCTGCCCATGCTTGTGGCCAGTAAAGTAAACAGAAGCTTTGGAGGAACACAAAGAACCAACTCCTAGACTATACATCAATTTCCTAAGGATGTCTGAGCCCCTGTGACCCCTTTCTCTGACCTCCTTTGGCTTTTTGCTTGTTTGTTTTGCAATGGTGGGATTAAGCCCAAGACCTGGTTGAATGCAAAATAGTTTAAGCATCACCATCATGGACACAGAAAGCTAACTGAGACACTGCAAGTCAAAGGAGACGGATCAGCAGCAGCTGTCCCAGCTGACAAGTGTCAGAATGTGATGATTGCTTAGGGGAGCTGGCAACTTCCAGGCCCCTCCACAGACACGCTTTTAAAACCCAAGTCAGCCACGGCATGGCTTGTGTGCCGTGTGTACTTGCATGTTGTGTGATACTGTTTGGGCCACCTGAGTTTTGTTAAGTCTCTTGTCTGTGTTTCAGGAGGGAAGTGGTGAACTCGTGTACTGACACCATATTTGGAGACCCTAGAGAGCTGCAAAGTGTCAGAGAGTCTTCCTTCCCTTTTGTTTGGTGAAGCTGAAGATAAGGCTATGATTTTTTTTTTTTAAAAATATATATAATAAAATTTGGCACCATTTAAAACAGTGGCTCTCAACCTGTGGGTCTTGCTCCCCATGGGGGTTGCATATCTGATAGTTACATCATGATTCATAACGATAGCAAAATCACAGTTATGACATAACCATGAAATAATTTTATGGTTGGGGGGGGTCACCAAAACTTGAGGAACTGTATTAAAATATCTCAGCACTGGGAAGGTTGAGAATTACTGTTTTAAAGGATCAGATGGTATCTGATATGGCTGACACTATGATTACATGAGATAATACCTACCTGGGGATTATGGCTGACTTATCCTAATGGAGAAAAATAAAAATGCATATTTATATTTAATAATTCCAGCATTGATGAGGGAGGGGCTCATAAGACTCCCCCAGGAGCTGAGGAACTATGCGGGACTGACGGGTGGGGGCAGGGGAGAAGAGAGCCATTTTTCCTTGGGAGTGTGGCTGCTAGTAGGATGACCATGTACATGTTGGCAAAAATAACTGGACTCACTGTGTTATAACAGCAATGACAGAGAGGCTATGAAGGTGGGACAGGGCGTGACATGAGCACGGTACACTGTATAAATAAATGTGTACAATTGTCAAGGCATAAATTAAAAATATATCTAAAGATAAAGAGAATTCGAGTGTGTGTATATCGGAAGTGAATATCCACCAACGCAGAAGTCA